CTAGTTTAACTACTTGTTTAAAATCTACATAGATAATATGATACCATATGGTACAAAATTTGACTGTATATGCTGTGAGAAGTTTACAAATGGAATTGGATGACTTGAAAACTGATACCCTTTATTGAAAAAATATGCTAACAATAACCACAAGGTGATTCCAGCTCAGTATATACATATTCAGAGTATATATTGGTATATATGAGTCTGCATCCTAGTTATAAGAGTGACGAGTCCAGAAAATTATGAATAAGCTTGAATTAAACTGGGGATCACTGTAGGTTAGAATGCATATCTGGATTTATTTCATCGATAAAACTGATTTAACCATTTGTTTATTCCTAAATCATCTTTTTATGATAAGTGGAAATAATGTGAAATGTTTTTTACTAACAACTGACTGAACGTTGTTATAAAGCTATCAACATATATCTAGACAATATCAACTTTAATTTAGGGCTAATTATGCCTATTCAAGACGTGATTTGCTCATTTAAAGCCATCTGCATTCAGAAGAATACTTTTAAATCATTAGAGAAAAACACCGAGCAGTTGCAGCTCTTTTCAAATGGTAGTAATGTATAATTATCAAAGTTACACATTAATGACAAGCATCTCAAAATTATCAGACGGTGAAAACTGAAAGCCATGACATGATCTTTCTTATAAATTAACTGATAATGTAAACTCCCTTATATCTTTACGTACCTATCAGTGGCTCAGACTGCAATAAATTGGTTTCATTTCATCAGATGATATAGAAAACAAGTTTATTTTACCAGTGGGTTTCAGTGATCATACTTTTTTATTGAATAATGTAACGAAACAGATGCCCGTTTGAAATTTTCTACTTAAAAAAATACCAAAATTTGTTTCTTAAAATTAGCAACTATCTACTGTTAGGTGAGTAGTATTTTATTTGACTCTGAGATGTATTAAAACCTTCTTCTGATGGAATGCTTAGAAAAATTAGTCCAAATTCTAAACAGTACAAATTTAAGAAAAGAATCTTTTTAAACATTGTTTTATTTCACTTCACCATCGTTTCATTATTCAGTTGAATCCTTTCTATGTGTTAGTGTGGCATTTATTGATATTTTTGATGGACTGAAGCTAAAGTCATTCCAGTAAGGAAAATAGATGATTTTGGACCATACTGAAATTCCCTGAGGGTTATGTGCATTCAGCTGAAATCCCTTATGCAGATTAATGTGATAGGAAGCTTTTAGGGTTTAATAAAATGTTCCTGCATAGCTAGGTGAATATCATTATAACTATTAAGCTGCACAAACGGTTTATATAACGAAAAAAATCCAAAACAAATTAGTAAAAGTACTGTCAATGAATGTTAAAGAGGCTAATATAAATTAAAGGTTAACAATGTACGCCTATTGAATAGTTCCAATCTCTTAAACAGTCGTAACATCAGTGAAACTGCAGGTTGTTTACTAAGTTGAATTATAGATTATGTAAGGATGAATAAAAAAATATTTTATATGTGACTATGCTTTTGCTGTAGTCAGCTGTGGGATTTCGCCTTCATAAATATTGATATGATATTTAAAATCAAAGGTAATCTTTTCTTCCTGCAAAAAACTAAAAATTCCTAGTCTTCCCTACATTTTCAAGGGATCGTAAACTGGAGATAAGAGAAATCAATGCCATGTTTTTACCAAAATAAACGACATTACCCACATGTTAATGACCAATTTGTTTGAAGACAAAAGAAAATTTGAACAAAAATATCCTTTTTGTAATTTCCTCTTCCGGCCCTATGATTATATGCAAATATGTATTGTTTGAATTGATTGTAGCGTTAATTATAAAATTACTTCTACTTTGAAGTCTCCATTCAAGATTCCAGCTGTTCATATAGCACTGAAATTTGAATTGCTTTGAAAACGCTCAATAGCATATTTTCCATCTTTATAAAATTATTAAAAATAATTCCGAAACCGGAAAAATGTTTTTTGAACGTTCTTCTGCGTAAGCCACAGTTTTTCCACCAGAGTTACTGAGATTTTATTAAATGTTTCAAAGTGTATACTGGAACAGTGCACTAACTGAACTGAACTTGTCCTGGGAGCACTTGTGGTTTTGCTAAAGAAGCCTAAGGTTGCACAACGAAACGTTCAGAAAAATCTTGTTATGACTTTTTTAATGCGATGAAATTATTTTAAATAGCTTTATGACAATACATTTTGATTTGGCGTTGAAATTATTCCAAGAGATTCACAACATCTATAGTCTGGATATCAAAAATCAAATTTTCAGTCCTAAACTTAAATTATCACCTAGTACCTAGAAACATTAAAGACAAGATTTTTGTGTCATTTGTTTGGTCAATATTTTAATTTGATTCTGAATCAACTGTTGCTTCATGAGTGAGTTATTGATTTCGTTGGAATCTTTATAGGCTTGTACCAAATTGATGATGTGTGTTTCAAACATTCAGACTCAAACTTATTACTGTCATAGTAGTTGGTCACAATCAAATCTCAAAATATTTGCGAAAATGTTTGTTTTCATAAGGATTATAAGCTTTGGCTTTAATATTTACTTGTTCAAATTCACTAAAACTCAGCTCTGAACAGAGTTACTGAACACATAATATTCGTTTTGAAGTGATTATTGGTCTGCACACCAATGAATGATGGCATGATATCAATATAACTGTCCTCAGATATGTGAGCATTTCAGTTAATTACCAAAATAAATTATCTAGGGAAATAATGATTAACTACAAGATACTGCGATATCCAAATCGTCTTTATTAAATTAAAAATTCTATAAATATATGTGAATTGTTCAGTTCAAATAAATACTTCTAGGTAAAGTTAGAATCAGACAAGTTGTTTTGTATATTATCAGTATAATTTGTAGGTTGAGACAGAATGTTGATGGAAAGTATACACTTTTGTTTATTGAATCTACTGTGTTCTAAGAGAAGTGTCTTTTTCGTGCACCCATTAAGCACACCAAAAAAAAGAAGTGCATGTGGCAGAAAATACATAACGAAATAAACTCTGTGCATTGAAAAAAATCAGTAATCAGAAAGCAAGTTAGGTTGTATGATTGAATGCTGTCTTCACTGTTTTTTGATTGGGGCAACTATTTCACAGAATTTTTTATATCTTTTTTATATTATTCTGTCTTTCCTGATACTGTAAAACATTTGTTAAACTATCTGAGATCTTTAAAAAAATACTATCCTTACTACTTGGCGTCAACTGACCAATTAATTTCAAATGATTTCGTTCAGAAGTACAAAATTGATAGTCAACCTCTAATCTACTTTTATTTATGAATCATAGGCAGTAAACTTATAGCAGTTATATTGAATTTCCTCTTAACTATATTAGACCGAATCGTGTGGTTGCAGTTAAGATGTTGACTCTAAGTACGGATGTTTTGACGACGCCTTCAGATCGGCATATTGATATTTGGACTCAGTGAGAGTACCATCACTCACTGTAATACAGGTACGGTTAGCTGTCGAGTCTTTGGAACTAAGAAACACATTTTTAAACGCATGTCTTAGTTGGCATCAATTAAGTGAACAGTAAAATCTTTTACTAAATTAACCTCTTAAAGTGAGACCTGATTATCCATCTACCACTTTGTGAACCACCAGAAGATAGAAATTGACATAGTTTTCACACATTTGAAAAGTGACAACACTGACTAGTCAGCCACAATCACAGTCCATCTCCCTACTCTTCCTGATATAGTGTTTACTTACTGGTCCTCCACTGACTTTGAGTCGTGATGAATTTCAAACTGATTGAAAAATATGCATCAGAAATACCGCCAGCATACTATATAATATATGTATGTCAGTGTTTAGCTGGGTTAAAGGTGATTGGAAATTTTGGAGAGAATCAGTAGAGTGTAGTTAAATATGACGACACATTTTTCTGATTATGGGTTTTGTAAGGATTCGGGCTAATTTCAATTTTGACTTCATTACGAGGTAAAACTAGGGGTAGTTAAAAAATACTTTGTTCTGTTTGGGGCCTCTTCATCAGTGCACACTCATAACCTCTCTAAGGATCGAACCCGCGACATCCAGGCTGCCAGGCCAGCTCATTGACCATCCAGTAACTTCGGTCTTAATTCCACAGTCCGTGAAGTCAAACTTCTGTCACTTTGTGATGTAGCGTTACATTAGCATATGTATTGTTGAAGTGACAGTGTTCACATGGATGTTCTTAAGAAATTAATTCGCACACGATGAGTACAATGGTTGATTTAATTATCGGTTTCATGTGCCGTCCGCAAGGTATGTCATACAAAAATCTGTTCAGATGAGTTTCATAAAGTAGTGCTTCTTATTTTGGTTTTTATGCAGTATTACTGGTTTGTGTTACTATGTGACTGAGAAAAACGTAATGCATATAATCATACTTTCAGACGGTGGGTATTCCGCGTAGGCTTTCTGGGAGCATTTCTGTACGCAATGGAATGCCCCTATCAAATTTATGAATGGTGCCAATATTCTGAAACTAACTGAGTGTTAATTTTACGGAAAGGCAGAAAGGTACAGTGCGGTAAAGGTGAATTGTGAGGAGGAAATAAATACAACCAGGGGTGAAAGTTTTGTGCGGGACACTTAGTTTTTCATGTTTCATTCTAACAGCTGCATGTGGATAAGTTATTAAAAATAAGAAATAGTAGATACTATCTGTCTGAGTCAGTACACTGCTTTCACCTTCTTGGATTCATATTTGACAAATGTTTAGTTAAATAACATTTGCTTAACTAACTTATAAGTATAATTAACCCAAAATCGTCATACTTAATAACTCTATGATAAAATGAGGGGCTGCGGGCGAAACGATCTCAGAATCTAATAGTTTTTAAAAACTTATCTCATCTACCTAACATTATAGGTTCTACCTAAGAAGGTCATACTACATTAAATAGCATATGCGTTTCATTTACTTATCATTTATTATGTTAAATAATTGCGTCAAAGCATCATCAGAACATTAACTCACATTAACACTTCCGTAAAGGTTGTGCAACATCTTCGGGTATTTTTGTGAAACCAATCTGTTTTGATGTCGTCTCTAACTTGTAACCTCTGATAAATCAGTGAAAAAAAGATTTTCCACTTAGATTTCGATGTTACACTTCAAGGATCGTTGCAGTAGGATTGGATATACATTAAGATGCTGCAAGATATTAATGAAAATGATATTTTGTTGGCAACTTATTTGAACGTTGAGTGTAATAGATACATATTGTTAAAACGGAAATAAAACCTTTCAGCATAACACTCAATCCACACTCACCAAGGAAAATAAATATGATTAACTTCAGCTTGAAAAAAATCATCAAACCAGGTTATATATGTAGCCGAATAGTTGACACTTTCAATGATTTCTTACAGTTGCCATAATTTATTAGACAGAAGTCATAGATTACTCAAATCAGTGACTGAATGCTTCTTTAATCCATCAGATATTTGTTAAAATATAAGAGGAAGTGGATGATATTACCTCTTTGAGTTCATCAACACCAACAAATTAAAAAGATATTACGATTAATTAAAACGTCAGTTGTGTCCAAGAGACAATTTTTCCTAAATCAGCATGTTTGCATAAAACAAACTTGTAAGTCCATTTCTCACTACATGACTTTGCCAAGAAATACTATAGGCTTTCCCTGTGAAGTAACAAAAATAACAATATATTACACTATCATCGAAGAAAGTGCTATTAACTCCAGTAATTATTTTATGCGTAAACAACTGACAGCATATCATTCATCAAAACCTAATTTTGTCGCATCACCTAATATTGAAGTTTTTAGAAGTGCACACTGTCATAAAATATCTGCAATGGACATTTCTGAAAAAAGGAAAAAATCACTAATATTTATTTGCTTTTCACATTTTACTTCAACGATCCCATGATGTTTAGAAGCATTTGTATTAGGCATAACAAAAATGTTTAATGAAATCAGCTGTGACCATCAGCTAAATTGAAACTGCTGTTTTCAAGCCAGTTTTAAAGATGAATTGAAATTCACCAAAAGCCGCATGAAAATATGGAGCAGAAGACGTATGTTTTGTTTTGGGCAAAGATTATTCAGAAAGGCTTGCTCAAGAGCTTGTAATGGCGTGAGCACATGACTGTAGTGTAATGAGGTAGACATTAGCTACTTAGTGGTCGGCTGGGATCTTATTTCCTATATTTTTATGAAAGTGCCTATATATGAATGATGTTATTGTTTTTCGTTCCTCGCTTTTCAAGTGGAACACAGGACATTAGTGGCAGGTCACCATCCCATTCGACCTTTTGCTATTATTTTCTGCTGCTTTGACGAATGTCCACAAGCTTTCATTTCCTCTTCACATGATCTATATGTCACGTTCACACTTCTTACTCTCAACTCCTCACTCGAGTTCTACTCAAGGGCCTGGTGTTTTGTGTCTTTTGAGTGTCTCCTCAGCGTAAAGTCACTCCATCTCCCTTTCTTTCTTTTAATTTTTTGAGTTATAGGTTGTTGGTTGATTTACTTCTCGATTTCACTGTTTCTCCTCCTTTTGTCTTGCTATCTCATCTTCAGCATCAGACGACGACAGCTGTTGATTAAAGTCTACAGTAGTCTGTTGAAATGCTTCCAGTGATGCGCACGTCAAGTCTTTGAGTTACCTAGAAGCAGTAACACCACAATGGTGCTGAAAATTCTGATCATATTTTTGTTCTAAATACGTCGGGTCTCAGAAATGATTTCAGAGTAATGACTGCCTGTTTCACCTTACTAATCCTGGCTAGCTTTGGTATACTTATTCTGTCTCCTGCCCGCAGCTGAAATCATGCTCTTTGGGTACGTGGAAGAGACTACTTATTTTAGATTTCTCCAAATGGTGATATTGACATGATATGGAGCATGTTATTGCAAAGAAATAAGAAGGATCAAATTCGTGTAGTAAACTAGTTTGGTTAACGTTTTTGAGGCAATTCGTTCTCTTTGATTTCACAAATAACACTTAATTATGAGGAAGGGCTATTGACCAGCACGATGGAGGATAATGAAATCCAACAGTAAGAATAAAATGTATCCATCTTTAGGCTATAAAAATATTAGTATTCTCAAGGTAAGGCGAAAACTTTTCCGATTTTCTTTTTTGAGTTACTAACCACTAAGCTTCAAAGAAAAACTAACAAGGTAGGCTTTTACTAACATATATGCTTTGTTGTCAGTTTTTTCATAATAATTTATAGTGGTCATTATTTTACTTTTAACTAAATTGCTTAATTTACATCACTGACAAAAGCAACAAAATAGAAATAAAATAGTGTCAGAAAAGTAAGTTTTAGTCTCACTTCCTGTTTAAAATTAGATTCTCTATAGAAAGATAACAATTGTCGTGTATTCACGCATTCATTGGTGCACTTATCTAATACTTCTTAAAATAATATCGAGACAGTACCAGTTGAAGTAACATTATCAACTGTTAATCTGCAGGTAAAATATGGAGAGAAAAAATACTTTTTAAATTGGATTTTCTCGTGATACTAAAGTTAATTGTGTATTCACATTGATTGTCACACTATGAAACTGTTGAATTTTCTGTCATGACGGACGTACAGAATGCACAGAATAATAATATAATCTTTGAGCAGAAAGTGACTGCACAAAATGCAGCAGGCAGCCAAACACGAGTTGCTATGGCGACTTGTTTATCGCTAGACATCAATCTGAACATAGGAATACACTAGAAAATAACACAAACAGTAACTTTTGTATCTGGCTACATAACAAACCACTAGATTTCCTTCCATAAAAAGTGTACTCAAAAATACGATAAATCTTTATACAGTATATGTTTTGTAACGTATGCAATGACTTGTGACAACCTAAATTAGTTATTTCCATACAGCAATATTTTACTCCTGTGTTTGTGAAAACTTTACTATCACTTTGGAAAAAAATCACATTCGGCACATTGTATGTGAAGAATTCATTTAAAGTAATTCTGATTTCCTTTAGTTACCTAAAAAATAGGTTAACGGTTTTACTGCACATGTTGTTGTTGTCGCCGTGCTGTCTATCGATAATGAATGATATACTCACTGACACACCAAAAGAAAACAATATATATGTATATATATGTATATATTTCGTGCCTCATATTTATTTTGTTATGGTTTGGGCAGAGAGCATTATATATATATATTTTTTTTGATTTTACAGCTTGATTCCACACTGTATTTTTGGTACAAGTATGGAATTTTCAGCATGGATATCGGTAGCCCAAATTTTGCAGGCCGACCATAGATATCAAGTGTGCGTCGGAGTGGCTCGAACCTCGGACCATGTGCATGGTCGGCGAGAGTCCTAACCACTGTGCCACCGACGCACACATTCTCTTAGTAATGGGAGATAGTTTAACTGAGTTGGACACTAAATTTATGAGTACACATTTTCCACGTTTAGCATTAAATGCCTGATAAATCATATATAGATAAGTAGGAATGTTTACAGATTAATTCCGAAAAAAATGTTGCTCAAATTTGATGTACCTATTTATTTCTAATTGTCAACTCGGAGGACAGCTATGTCTGTAAAATAACCAAACTCAATCTGTTTGAATTTTCTACCAGGTCATTTTGTATGTGGTTTTTTAAAGTTGAAATTATTTTGTTAAAAGCTTCCTGTTCTTCGTACCATTTTTTTAAATGCTGCAATAAACTATTCGGACATTTATTCTTCATATTTTGTAATTTTTGATAATATAGGTGAACTAATCTTATCACATGAAGACGTAAAATCAACCTGCTCGTTTGTATTGCATCGCAGTCTAACAATATAAAAATAATAAATGATAGGAATGTTGCATTTTGATATACTTTTATTGAATTTAAGCCTATCATCACCCCATAGCTCATCGCTTACTAATAGAACTTGAAGTGAAATGCTTTTGTTAAAATAATTCATTTTGAAAAAAAGAAACTGACTACACTAAGTAAAACTTAGACTATAAAGTGGTGATTCCCATAGAATACAGTGAATCAGTTAAATGCTGCTCTATTTTTCTCTCTCTCCACCCAGCTTTGTATATAACACAGAGGTGGCTAACAGACAGTATAGTGCATTCAGTGAGCAAGTTATTTTGCCTTCCTTATTTAGCAAATATTGAGAAAAATTAATGTCACATAGATATTTATGTATAAGATAAAGTAAAACAAAACTGCGCATAAAAATTCCTCTCAGTTTTCAAACTCTTGACGTCGACCGCATTAATGTGATGCTTTGCATGGTTGTTATCCTTGTCGTTGTTATCAAAACATGTTGCACCAACTATAAGTCCCACTTGACAAAAACTTATGTAGATTCCACCTGTGCTCTTAACTGTCGTTAACGTTGCATACTTATATGGATTTTATAAAACATTTGAGATAAAGGATTCTAAGGTTACTTGAGAATGACAGTGAATTATTTTTCAAAGCTGACAGTATGTGGGGAAAACAGTGTACGGGTTGTTCTTGATTATGAAGGATTTATCACTGTTTATCAAGAAAATAAATTAGAGCAAATTAATTTTTTATTACGACGTTTATACAGATGTATAGTGAGCGTGAATGTCCCATCTTTTACAAACAGTCACAACTTTCAGAAATGACTTTACACATCATAATTAAAAGCTATCGACAATGTTAACAAGGCACTTGGATAGGCTTTGCCTTATTTTAGCGCTGTTGCCGAAATTTCTGAGTATATCAAAAATTAATACTTTGAGAACATTCTTTTTGATTGAACTGAAGGAAAGAAAGTTTCAATAAACCAATATCACAGAATGATTGTAGTTCGGCAAAGATATAAGCAAAGTCATAGTCCAGTGTTATTGTAAAAATAACAGCTGTGTGTTCACTCAAACTAAGTAAAACCTGCAATATCGCATTTACCAGTGGCTGTATATAGATTAAATGCTGAAGTGATCGTCGCCCGATTAATGTATTAACATTCTACGAAAGTGAGAAGATATCACACCGTTTACTTAACTATTAGACAGTCAATCATACCATATATTTAGTAACCTTTTCTCTTTCAGGACAATGGTATATAGCAGTATAAAATGGAATTTTAGTGGTGTCAGGAGTGATAAAAAAAGGTTTTAAATGTTTCAAAATGACAGTTACAGTGCATGAATGCGGACTGTCGG